GAATTTCCCACGGATTTAAATCCATCTGAAATTTCTGAACAGAATTTCCCACGGATTTAAATCTGTCTGAAATTTCTGAACAGAGTTTCCCACGGATTTAAATCCGTCTGAAATTTCTGAACAGAATTTCCCACGGATTTAAATCCGTCTGAAATTTCTGAACAGAGTTTCCCACGGATTTAAATCCGTCTGAAATTTCTGAACAGAATTTCCCACGGATTTAAATCCGTCTGAAATTTCTGAACAGAGTTTCCCGTGGGTAATTACCCACGGATTTACCCACGGATATATCCGTGGGAAATTTCCCACGGATTTATCTGTGGGAAATTACCCTGAAGGAATTTTTTGTCAAAAATTATAATTTTTTTTAATTTTAATAAATTTATTAATGTAACAACCCTCATATTTGGCCTCTCAAGGGTTCTATTTCACGATATTTCATTGTTTAGCGTGTTTTATCCTTACTTGTGCAATTTCTGGGAAACTTCTCAGAAGGTCACCCATCCCAGTACTACTCATTAGTAAGAATTTGTGAAACAATTATAAAATGAAATATTTGTAGTAATTTAAAAAAATTATTATCCTTTGATTTGAATTTACTCATAGATGTTCATAGTATTTAACTTATAATATATACACATCCTTTTTATTACAATTACACCTGCTTTGTTTAAAAAGGCTAAAATTACTGACAATAGAGCTTGAATCCACACACATACTTACGTGGAGAAAATCTTAAGTCTTCCCCCTTAACTAATTGGGCAAACCACCCGCTAGTTCTTTTTGATCATTTTTTAATACATCACAATGCGTTTCCTTGCTTTTTTCTCTATCAAATAGAATACGTGACTGTTTTAACGGAGTTTTTTTTATTCGCACATTTATTTTAAAGTTTCATGTTGAAATAAAATTCCAACACAAAGTAACATATTTTATAACTAATATCTGGTTTTAAACTTGATATGAAAATATTATGATATAAATTGATAAGATTTTAAATTAGTATTTTATTAATGGTTGATAATTAGAAAATAAAACAAGGATAAATACATTTTTTGAATTTTATATCTTAGATTTAAGATGAATAAATATATTAAGTTAATTAATAATTTATTTAAAATGTTAAAATTTAATTTATAAAAATAATATTTTAAAAGAGAAGTGTTATAATAACACAGGTGTAACTTTTACTAAGTATTACATCGCTCAATAACTTTATATTAAATGTGAATTTTATAAATTCAACCGTTAGATTGAAAGTTTTTTACTCTTAGATCATATATACAAAATTTTATATGAATTCAAGATGATTTGATACTTCATTCTTGTAAAATAAAATTGACGTAACATATACATTTCAAAATATATTAAAATATGAGCACTTTGATTACCTTCAAGTTGTTGTTCAATTTTAACAAAACTTGAAATAAACATATAAAGTGATATGAACTTTCAATTTAACGGTTGGATTTACAAAATTCACATTTAATATAAAGTTATTGAACAATGTAATAGTTAGTAAAAGTTATATCAGTGTTATTATAACCCTTCTCATTTTAAAATATAAAAATTATTATTTAAAATTTTAAATTTATAATAGATAATTTAAATTGTATCATTATATTAATTTTAAATAGAAATAAGTAGATTGTTAATTATAAAAGTAAGTATATATAAATAAAGATTAATTAAATATAATATAATAATTATTATTAGTAATATAATTATTAAATACACCGAAATGAGAGGAATTCAAAGATAGTATAAATATGAGATTGTATATTTGAGGATGACTTAAATGAATTAATTTGAACTATCTATACTGACAATATGCATATGCCTTTTTGTAACTTATCTCATAAGAACTCCACAGTTAAGCGTGCTTGACTTGGAGTAATATAGGGATGGGTGACCTTCTGGGAAGTTTCCCAAAAATTATGTAATTAAGGAAAAAACATGCTGAAAAGTGAAGTATTGTGAAATAGAATATCCTTGAGAGGCCAGTATTTCGTAGCGACCGAATTTGCAACGTCTATAAAATTTAATAATTTAAAAAATAGATTTTTAGCAACCGATTTATTCGGTCACTAATTTTGTCCCCATACACATTAGCGACCAAAATCATTGCAACCATTTTGCGACCAAAATTTTTGGTAACTAAACAGCTACCAAAATTTTCGGTCGCTAAACCAAAATTGTCGGTCGATTTTTTTGCTCGCTATATAGCTTTGCGACTTGGATTTTTGCGACTACTTAAATTCGGTCGCTAATTCAGTCGCTAAGGCAAATAGCGACCGATTTTAGTAATTTAGCGACCGATTTTGGTGGTCGCTAAATCCAAATTTTTTTTGTAGTGTCTTGAGTCCAATCCTTGCTTCTCATAATTGTTCTTACAAATTTTATATTATCGTTCTATTTTACATCATATTAACTTACTTGCAATCATATCAATGTTTCTATATAAATCATTAGAGTAAGAATTACTAAACTCTTAAATCTCTGAGGATCATACTGTATATATATCTACAATGAAACTTGGTTCACTTGTCAAGTAGAGTAATCTAAAATCCTCATCAACGTGCTATTAACTTCTTTATAACAGTGATATAATTAAAAATTGATTAAAAGATATATAAGGGCTTAGAAAAATATAGACTCGAATATCGTCTTTATTAATTGTCATAGACAAGAAAAGCATTTAGTTTGAAATAAAAAGCGACATGCCAGAAAACATGATTAAGCAAAACACAAATATGTGTTGGAGGGTTATTCACAAAGTTTGAAGTTTGAACTGCTACTGTCGTATAATCTAATAAAAATAAATAAATAAATAATAAAATTAAATTAAATTATAAAAAAAAAAAAAAAAAAAAAAAAAAA